TCCTCCTCCTCCTCCTCCTTCTCCTCCTCCTCCTCCTCCTCCTCCTCCTTCTCCTCCTCCTCCTCCTCCTCCTCCTCCTCCTCCTCCTCCTCCTCCTCCTCCTCCTCCTCCTCCTCCTCCTCCTCCCCCTCTCACATCAATCGTCCCTTGCCTGCAGATGGCAGGAATTGTCAGGTCTCGACTCCTTGGGACATGGGCATCCAGCCAGACTCATGAAAGAGTCGGCGCGTGCTCCCAGCGAAGGCAATGGCCAAGCGGTGAGCAGCACAAGTAGGCTGGGGCGGATGCAGGGCGGGACAAATGCTCGCCACCGCACACCCTGGCAAACTGAGGGGTGGCAGAATGCCAATGCTGCCTGGTAGGGTTCTGTCGTCTTCGAATGGCCCCCCCACCACCTACCCCCTCGTCCCCTCGCTTTCCCTTGGTAAAGGTGCAGCTTGGGCGTCGCTTAATGGGGGTCCCCCCCCCCTTTGGGGCCCTAAAGATCAAATTTTCGATAGCCCGCGCTGCCCCCTTAGATCACCCCCCCATTACGCGTCCTCCGAGGCTCCGGAACGAAGGGGCTGGCGCTTGCTCCCCGAAGCACTCCCCAGGTACGTCTTCAGAATTGCATTTGCTGCCGATGCGCCGTCAGGGCGCGGCTCTTGCCTGCCTGGCTGCCCCACCACCCCTCTCCCAGCAAAGCTCTGCATACATCGCCCCACCCCTGTCTGGAGACTTCCCCGTGCGGCCCAGCGTCGCCCTGGCGCACTCCAGAGACCTCGGAGACTGCCGAGACGGCCCAGGCAGGCAACCAAGACCGCCAAGGCGGCCCCAAATACCTCCAATACGGCCCAGGATGGTCCCAAGACGGCCCTCAAGACGGCCCTCAAGATGGCCGAAGAGGCCTCCGAGACGGCCCAAGAGGGCTTCCTGAGGACCAGCATTGCCCGAAGATGTGTAAATCCTTGACGGTCCATTAGAAAAAATTTGAAGGACTATCGGATTCTCATATTTTCGGGCTTCCGTCAGCCCAGGACGGCCCACGAGGCCTCCAAGACGGCCCCAAGACGGCCCAAGAGGCCCCCGAGAGGGCTCCGAAGACGGCCCAAGAGGCTCTCAGGATATTTCCCCCAAAGCGCCCAAGGACATCCCCTAATGGCCAACATAGTAGAACCTTCAGGTCCCCAAGAGGGGCCCAAGACGGCCTAGAGAGGCCCCAAGACGGATTCGGAAGGAGCCGGACTTCCAGAGGGCGCCCTGAGACGTCCTAAAAAGCCCCCAACAGGAGCCGAGAGGCTCCCAAGACGCCACTAGGAAGTCTCCACGAGGCCCCGAAGAGGCCCCAAGAATGGAGTAGGGAAGAAGAGGAAGGAAGGAAGGAAGACGACAACGAACACGAAAATGAGCACCACGACACAACGCGGAAGAGCCTCACGGGTCTCTCAAGCCTCAGGACACCGGGTGTCACACGCTACAGCTTCCGACTCCTCGAGCAGTAACCACACAAGATGCTGGGCTGGCACGGTGGCGGGACTTGCCGCAGGCAGCTGAAGGAGATCTCCCTCAAGCTTGGCATGGCAGGCCTTACCAGGATGTGTCCACCAAGCAGTGCGTGTGGTCCCCTGCTTTCCGCCCAAGGGGGGCAGACAGGCTCAACGACTGTCTTGGAGCCTGCAGGGGCCTCCCACGGGGCCTCCAGCAGCATCACTTAGGCCTCCAATGGGGTCCCCGAGGGCCTCCCATGGGGCGTCCTGGAGCTGCGTGGGGCCTCCTGGGGCGTCTCTCTAGGGGTCCTCCACTCCCTGGAGCTGCCTGGGGCTCACCGGAACGACCTGCGGCCCCGTGGGGAGAGGGGGAGAACCCCGACATCATGACGATTTCACAACGTCGACCCCCAAATGTCTCGACCCCTTCCCAAGGGCCGCTTCTTCATCCCAAGCCGCCTGTGTGGACGGCCCCAGGGCCCGGGGATGCGCCCCCCAGAGACCGAGCACATCCCCCCCCAAAAAAAGCCCGCCACCGTGACAGTTTCTGCGACGCGGCGGGTGGGTCTGGGTCGGGGAGCACAGAATGGCATAAACAGAAACTTGCGGAGTCCCCGGGCTTGGCAGTGTTTCCATACTCACCGCCTGCCGAGGTCCCCGAAGGTCGATCCCCAGGCGGTGGTGATGGATACATCCCCGCCTCACCAGTGGGGCGTGCACGCCATGCCAGATGAGCGCCCCGGCAGGTTGCATCTGTGCGCCCCCCTGGCCGACGGCCAAGAGTCGAGCAACAACACATAGCCTACACATAAACTTTTGGAGGTCCGCGCTGGTCCCTTGGACGGGCGCCGGACACCCCTCCCTGGCGTGCAGAACGCGCCAGGCTAGGTACATAGCTCCAGCGCAGACCCAAGAAATCCGCGCGGACCTCCGAAAGTGGATGCTTACGCTGGTCTTGGCTCCCCGAGTCCAGGGCTGCTGGGCGGCAGCCAAGCCGATAGAAGTCGAGCCGACGGACATCGGCAGGCTGGGACGCCCTCCATTGAGAGACCGAAGCCCGCATCGGAATCCGAAGCCGAAGCGAACCGGAATCGATCGACGTCGACATCGAGCCGAGCCGGAGGCGTCGACAAAGCGGGGCCGCAGGAGGAGCGCCAGCGCCCAAGGCGCCCGGGCATCTCGGTCCCCGTCTGCCGCGGCGGCGCCCCGGTGCGGCAGGCGCCCCCGAGGGCGCGCCGCAGCCGCTGAGGGCCTTCGCAGGGGGCACGCGCACGCCACCACCAAGCCTGGCTGGGGGGCCACCCTGACGCACTCGACGATGGGCCCCGTGGTGACCCGCCAGCCCTGGGCGGTCTTCGACGGTATTCGACGATCTTCTGGCGGTCTTCGGCGGGCTTTGGCCGTTTGCTGACGTTCTTCGGCGGTAGTCGTCGGTTTCTGGATGTTTCCTGCGGTGTTCGGGACGAAAGCTGGATAGAGGCGGTCCGCAAGGCGTCCATGATTAAACACCCCACCACCCTGGACCCTGGAGATTGATTTTTCTTGCCCTGGCGATAATGGGCGTGACCGGGCGGGGGGAAGAGTGGGGGAGGGTGCCAGTCACTTGGCCGTCGGCCCCGAGGGCGTACAGATACACCCTGCAGGGGCGCTCTCGTGGCGTGGCGTGCACGCCCCACTAGTCAGGTGGGAATGTATCCATCACCACCGCCTGGGGGATCGATCTTCGGGGACCTCGGCAGGCAGTGGGTATGGATACATGGCCACCCACAGGGCCTGAATGTATGCGTACTCTGGATGGGGCCATAATCGCCCCCCCCCCCCCCCCCTTGGATCCGCTGGGGGCAGGCGGGCACGTGCTGTCGGAACGGGTAGAGTGGGGGTTGGAGGAGGAGAAGGAGGAGGAGGAGGAGGAGGAGGGAGAAGGAGGAGGGGGGTGTGGTGGGCAAGCTCCCCCTCGATAATATCCCACCCAGAGCATCCACCGCCTGCCGAGATCACCGTACATCGAACCCACGGGCGGTGGTGATGGATAAATCACCGCCTCGGTCTCCGGGCTGGGGCCGGGAGAGGGCCCGCATGAAACCATCCTGGGGTCCAGGGTGGCCCTGGCAAGGCGTGGTGGTGGCGTGTCGGTACCCTCTGCGGATTGCACCCCGACGGGGGGGTGCGGGGAGGGGTGGGGATTCGGCGGCGCGCACAAGGGGACAGGGGGGAGGGGGGAAGGCTGTTTGAAGGAGGCTGCCTCTTAGAAGGGGCCGGCCTGACTACATCTGTAGATGGGGCCCGCGCCTTCTCAGAAGCAGGCGTGCTTCAAAGAAGCCTTCCCCCCTCCCCCATGCCCCCTCTGCGTGTGGCCGAGGGATCGTGCCAGGGAATCTCTCTCTTGCGCCGAGCAGCCGCTGCCGCGGCCGCTGCAGCCACCGCGGCCGCTGCAGCCGCCGCGGCCGCTGCGGCCTTCGCTCCCCGCCGGGGATCTGCCCGCCTCCTGCCCCTTCCCGCCCGAGGCGTGCACCCGAAGCGAGTGGGAGCAGGAGCTGATCGAGCTGGTCGTGGGCGGGGGAGCGCGCCGGGGACGGGCCGAACTGGGCCGGCGCCAGCCCAGGGCCAGCCAAGGCCGAGCCGCGCGAGCCAGGGCCGGCCACGCAGTATACTGCCCCCAGGCTCGGGTCAGCAGAGGGAATGGAGGGAGGTGTCGGCCCCAGGTGGCTCTCAAGCCTGGGCAAGCCAGAGAGGATCGGCCCAGACATCGGGCTGCTCCAATGTTTCCGATGCGTGGACCCCAGAGGTCTGGACAACTTTCCCAGGGCAAGTTTTTGTTTCGTCCTGCCGCGTCCTATGACAAGCCCCAGCGAGGGCCCCCCGAGGCCGAACACGGCCAAAAGCCGCCCGCTCCAATGTCTGTTGGAGCGTCGGATCTGTGGGGGCCACCCGTACACGTGCCGCGACCACACCAGCCTCCCCGCGCAGCCTGAGGCACGAGGCACGACCGCCTGCCCCGTGGGGCCCGACTGCGGCAGGCTCGCGTCGCGACGACGTGGGCAGTTCCAGCCAAGGACCGAGGATCGAGGATCGAGGATCGCGCCTCGAGGGCCGAGGAGGGGGGGGGAGCATGGGGGAGAGGGAGGAGAGGAGGCCCCGTCTGCGAGGGTGCCGCGGGAGCCTCCCTCGAGCCCCGAGCTCCTGACGGCGACACTCCGTGGACCGTTCAGTCTCGAACGATCGCCGCGTTCCAGCGTCGGAGCTCGGTGCCGGCCGAGGTCGGATTCTGGCGGAGTTCAGCATTGCACGCCCGCACTTGCGTCGCCGCATGCCGTGCGCCCCCAGGATTCTCTTCCCCTCGCCAGCGGGCGAGTCCGGAGGCATCCCCCCCCTCGCCATCGCTCGGACGTCCATTCCCCGTGCATGTTTCGTCTTCGCGCGTGTCTGCTTCGCACGGTGATCCACGGCGCTCCTCGATGGCCCCCGCCGACAGAAGTGCACGCGTCCGCGCGATGCCAAGCCACCTGCCGGGGTCGGAGGATCGCACCGCATCGGCGATGCGTCGGCGACGGCGAGGTGGAGAGAGAACGGGCTCCAGAGTGTGCCACGCCGCCGATGCATCGGGGATGCGGCGCGAAGGCGTAAGGCCCGAATTCTGGGAGGCTCAAAACTCGCTCGACGGGGCCGTCCCACAAGCACGCGTGGGCCTGGCCTGAACTTTGAAGCGCCCTCCCGCTGCGGCGAACATCCCCCTAAAAGCCCGACCGACGGAGCTCACGCCGTGGCTGGCCGTCCGAGAGGCGGCGGCGAACTCGGGCGCCGGCAAACTCGAGCCTTACGCCTCCCCGAGTGGGAGGCCTCGGCGGCGCGCCGAGCGGGGAGGCGGGAGGAGGCAGGCCTTCTCGGAAGGCGGCGGGGCTCCGGAGCATGCCCCGGGGCGGAGGCCGTCCGAGCCTTCTGAGACGTCCCGCCCCCTCCGCCCTCGAGATCCCGAGCGGCGCGCCGTCGACGGCTGGAGAGCCCGGAGGTCCACCTCGCCCTCGGGAGGTGCCCCCTGCCGCGCAAGGCATCCCCCCGAGGATTCTGGAGGCGCCCCCGCCGGACCAGGCCGGGGGTCGAGAACGTCCAATGCCTCGAGCCTCCCCTGCCACCCACCCTGCCTCAGAAACGTCTGCGGCGACGGAAGACTCGGAGAGCAGACAGAGCGAGAGAAAGAAAACCGAATCCAAAGAAAAAGTCAAACTGAAAGTAGGCTGGAAAGCCGCAACGGCGCGACAACCGACCGAACAAGACCCACCGAATGCAGCCGACTGCGAGGCAGCCGACACCACTGTTTTGCATCGATTTGCGGACACTCAGGAGGAGGAGGAGGAGGAGGACCAGGACGGGGACGAGGACGAGGAGGAGGAGGGAGGAGAGGAGTAGGAGGAGGTAGGAGGGGAGGAGGTAGGAGGAGGGAGAAAGAGATAGAGACATCTGCCACCGTGCCCCCCTGGCACCTTGAGGCGCGTCAAGTGCTCTGTGGCCGGTGTTCTACAAGTCTTCTGAGGACCCCCCAGCTCTCGCATGCCTCTGCCCCCCCCCCCCTGCCGGCACAGGTTCTCGGAGGCTCTCTACGCCCTACGGCTTTCAGGACTGCCCCAGAGCAGGCCACCAAAAGGGCACCAAGAGGCCCCAAGACACCAATGAGAGGGCCAAGAGGCACAGGAAAGCCAAACATACTGGAAACAAATGGACGATCAAACCGATCGTCAATATGTTGGGTGTCCTGCTCCTCGGCTGAAGATGATTCCCAGAGGGAATTGGATGAGCCAAAAATCGCACGAAGAGCCCCCTGAGGGCCCCAAGGAGTCCCCAGACGGCCGAGGACAGCCTCAAGAGAGCCCCACGGGCCCCAAGAGCCCCAAGGACAGCCTCAAGAGAGCCCCAAGGGCCGGAGAGCCCCCTGAAGGCCCCAGCAGGGTCTCAAGGCGCCCAGACAGCACATCTCCAGACGGCCACGAGAGGCCCGAGACGGCCCAAGAGGGCACCGAAACGAGTCCAAGAGGGCCCCGCGACGGCCCACGAGGACCCCCGGACGGCCCACAGGAGCCCGAGACAGCTCCAAGACCGTCCAGAAGGGCCCCATGAGAGCCTCACGAAGAAATCTGCCACCGTGCCGCTGGGCACGGAGTGGTCGTGTCCTGAGGTCCTTCGCCTGATCCCTGAGGCCTCAATCTTCGCTCCTGAAGAGACTTTAAGGGGCCTGGAGCCCAAATTGCCCAATCTCCAGAGGCTTGGCGCGGCTGTTCGTTTGACTGTTTTCTAGAGCTAAGAAGGCCCAAAGACGGGCCAAGAGGGCTCCGAGAGCCATGCCCCACAACCCAGGCAAGGTGGCGACATTGGCCGACGACCATTAGATGGAGAAGGGACGTGTAAACGTGCCACGGTCGTGTTGCCGTGCCACAGCAGAGGAGGGGGAAGAGGAAGGCCATACTAAATCCAGGATCCCATAGGCAAAACGCTTCCAGACGGCCCGCGACGCGGTCAAGACCCCCCCAGCGGCCACCAAGAAGCCTCACATGCCGAACGCAAAGACTGAGAAAAACAGCCGCCGCCCCTGCAGCTCCGCACCGCGAAAGACCATTCGGTCAGTCGACAACGGCACGCAATGATGGGCCGGCGGAACGAGCGATGCGATTCAGTAAACCCAGGATGCGTCAACGACGATGCCGCATTCCATATTTGGTCGGCGGCCTCAAGAAAGTCCGGCGGCGGTCAGTTTCGGCGGGACGCGCCGAGGCTCGGCGAGGCACGATAGGGGAGAAAGGGCGGGGACGGCAGGGGAGGCCGGGAGGCAAGAGGGCCCCACTCATGACTGCCTACCAGACCACCCCAACCCAACCCGAAGGCCCGAATTGGGCCCGAATCTCGGGTTGGGAGGGGGGGTACGGGTCCCATGTGTCTGTTCAGTGTTCCCCGACCCCCTCCCCCCACTGGAAATGGAGGGCAAATTAAGGCCTGCGGGTTGGGTTGGGGTGGTTTGGTAAGTGGTGAACTCAGACCGTGAGCCTTACGTCCCCTCCTCCGTAGGCCCTACCGAGCATGCCGCTTCACCACGGAAAGCGCACCCTCTGACTGGCGTACGCCTGGTGCGCCTGCCATGCCACCGGGGAGAGATCCCGGCCTGTAATAGGTCCACCCTCCTTGTAGTCTTCGGTCGGGCCTGTCCCCCTACAGGCGGAGTCTGGACGAAAAATAACAGATACTCAAAGAACACTCAAAAAAAACAAA